TTCTATATACCACAGAGGAGTGAGAACATACCATATTTGTCTTTCTATCTCTGAATTACTTTGCTGAACATGATACACTCCAGGTCCACCCATGTTGTAGCAAACTGCATGATTTCATCTTTTTAATGGCTGCATAGAATTCCATTCTGCAGTATACCACAGCTTCTTCATCCATTCATTTTTTATTGGATATTTGGGTTGTTTCCATATCTTATACTAAGTGCTACAGTAAGCATAAGTGTGTATGTATATCCTTCCAAATTACATGTCTTTGTGTTTCAGGGGTAGGTCATGGGGTTATCTGGAAGCTCTTGTCTTTTTTTAATGTTATCATCATTCTTTCATTTTCCTATCTGTTTAACTTGTCTATATTTCTACATACCTCATCTTTCTTTGTTTTGAAAATTTTCTACACAGTTTTCTGTAGAGGCTAAACAAGACAACATACTCCCCTACAGTGAAAGAAAGGTCCCTTTCACCACACCTCCACAAACACTGATTATTTCCAGTATTTTTGATATAAGCCATTCTCACGGATGTGAGATATCTGATTACCATTTTGTTTGCATTTTCCTAATAATAAGCGTCAGTGAGCACTTTTTCATATGTCTATTTGTTTAAATGTGGTTAGTAGTTTTTTGATTGCTCAGCTTGATGAGTGCTGTATTTGTATGCTTTGGGTATTAGTTCTTTATCTCATTACTGTGTGCAAATATTTTCTTCCTTTCAGTAGAATGTTTTGTTATTTAAGCCCCAATTTGCTTTGCCATGCAAAAATATTGGTTTTGTTGGCCCTCCTGGCTGCGTTCAGGATTTACTCTTGGATCTGTGCTCAGGGATCACTCCTGGAAATACTTGAGGATCCATGTGGTACTGGAAATTGAACTAGGTCAACTGAAGGCCTTACTCCATACTATCTTTCTCATCTGAAAAAAATTAATTTGATAGGATGCAAATTTCCACACGCTTGGGCCGAGCCTCACATATGAGTGAACATATTTCTGGACTGCACAGCCACGACACATCATAAGACATTCCCTACCCATTTTCCATAATTACCATACCATATTTGATGGGGTTTAGACAGATCACAGATCACAGATCATCCTGTTATTCGTCGATTGCCTCGAGCAGGCCCCAGTAACGTCTCCTTCATCCTAGCCCTGAGATTATATTCAAGGCTTTTTAGGAGAATGAGACCCATCATTGTTACCTGTATTTGGCACATTGGGTACGACACAGGGAGTTTGCCAGACTCTGCCGTGTGGGCAGGTTACATTCGGTAGCCTGCCAGTTTGTCAAAGTAGGAATGAGATGTCATAATAAGATGTCCCCGGAACCCACGTGGCTTTATCCTTCTGCCGGTACCTTCAGGTGTGCGGAGAGTGGTCTCAGCATGGTGGTGTCTGGTCCTGGAGGTCTTCGGCTGCCGGAGCCCTGGTCGGGGTAGGGAGGAAAGCTCAACCTGCTCCCTCCAAGGGGCCCCGGCGAGGAGTAGCCAGGCGCGGGGGCAGGAGACTGCACTGTTCTCCCTCCGAGATCTGGTTTTTATAGTCTCTGAGTCTTGGCCGCTGATGGGATTACATGGCGCCAGGGGGCCAGTTGGTGGGTGTGACAGTAGGTTTAGACAGTAGGTAACAAATCATAGAGGGAAATCTATCTCTATCTATCTATTTATCTGTCTGTCTGTCTGTCTGTCTGTCTACCTACTTCTAGGAGAGCCCGGCAAGCTACCGAGAGTATCCCACCCACACGGCAGAGCCTGGCAAGCTACCCGTGGCATATTTGATTGCCAAAAACAGTAGCAATAACGGGTCTCATTCCCCTGACCCTGAAAGAGCCTCCAATACCACTCCAGTATCATTGGGAAAGACGAGTAAGGAGAGGATGCTAAAATCTCAGGGCTGGGACGAATGGAGACTGGTGCCCGGTAGAATTAATTGATGAACAACAGGATGACAGTGATACAGTGATAGAGTGATGGTGCAAATTATTTTTTTTATTTTTGCAAATGAAATATAGTCATCTAAACACCTCTGAGGTTGATTTCCTGGAGTGTTTTTCTTATATGTTCCTTGATGTATGTTGTATATTCTGGTCTAATCTTGACATTTTTAATACACTTTGAATTAAATCTTGTGTATGGTGTGTGAGATATTGATATAATTTACTTTTATTTTGCTATGACTCTAAAATACTAGCCTTCCCAGCATTATTTGCTGATCAGGACTTTCTGCACCTCATGCATCCAGCCACCTTATTGTAGGTTAACGCTCCATAAATTTGAAGGTTTTTCTCTGGGCTCTCTATTATTTCCAGTGATCAGGTGGAAGCAATAGTTGGAACTCTGGCACCACATGGTCCCCCTGCAGTGCCTCAAACTATGTCCCTGAAGGCCCTTGAGCACCACCATGGTGGCCCCTTGCACCCCAGGGCTCTAGCAGCTTCACATCCTTGTACCCTTGCATTGAACCACCATTTGAGTCGTGACTTCTCTCTTCCCACGAAACATCTCATGACTATTTCCTGACATCACAGAGCTCATTTGGTGTTTAGCCAAATGCCACCCACTGGAGTGGTCCCTGGAGGCCTTGAACACTTTTTAGAACTCCCCCCAACCCATCTCCCAAAGAATAACATTGCTGTTAAATATTAAAGTTAAAATTTAAAAAGAGGAAATTCTTCTTCAGGGACCCAGCCCATACTATGGGGGACTTATTGTTTCTTTTGTCTTTAAATAAAATATCTTCTCAATTTGATCATTAAGAAAAGAATGCAGGGCTGGAGCGATAGCACAGCCGGTAAGGCATTTGCCTTGCACGCGGCCAACCCGAGTTTGATTCCCAGCATCCCATATGGTCCCCCGAGCACTGCCAGGAGTAATTCCCGGGTGCAGAGCCAGAAGCAATCCCTTTGCATCACCGGGTGTGCCCCCCAAAGAAAAAGCAAACGCTGTGAAGAAAAGAATGCCTGAAATGTGGTCTAGGGAACAGCCCCATTTCCAGAGGCCACACTGGAACTTGAGAGAGTGCTCGGGAAGACTGGGCACTGCATCCCACTCTGTGCTGGAAGAACCGGGAGATGCACCATGTGCGTTGGAGCAGTTTAAATTGCAGGGTTGGGAGATGTGATTACTCTTTACGAAAGGCCACAACAGATAGGAACACAACTGCCACTGAAGCTTGCTGGATGGATCCCGAGAGCCGGGTCCATAGCTCAGCATACTGGAGACCATAGGAAGACGCTCCAGAGTTGATCACATGGCAGAAGAAGAAGGGGAACCATACGCGAGGGCCTTTTTTGTGGTTTCTGAGGAAGGGATGGGTGCGGCACCACACACAGAAAACCCTTACTATTCACTTCCGGTGGGATGGCGGGCACTCCCGTGGGTGTAACTTGAGCCCCCCAGTTCAGGATCCCACTCCTCTTCTCCTTGGCAGCTTCTTTTGCAGGTTGACTACTAATTTCATCCTTTTACCCAGGGAAAACGAATCCCTGTCTACGGTTGGCCAAAGGACACTCTAGGCCACCTGTCATTCCTCTGGAGTCCTTCTGGTTCTCCTGCGTAGAGAACGAGCCTATTCATGAGTCATTTCCCTGCTTTGTGAGGACATCCTGTCTGAAAATGGGGACAAATACACATTTTTCACTTTACAGGGGCCGTGCCCACACCTTTCCCACGAACTTGCTCTCCAGTGCCCCCATGATGCTCAGAGCTCATGCTTATTCCAGACCTTTCTCTTCCCACAGAAACATCTCATGACTGTTTCCTGACATCACAGAGCTCAGTGACCACCACCTCCTACTCAGGTTCCAGGGCCCCAAACTTACCTGACTTGGGCAGTCACCTAAGACTCCCCTCTCCTGAAGCTCCACTGCACATGCTATCTTTGTGTGTGTGAAACCCCATTTGAAGGAAGGTGGTTTAACCTCGCTGGTGCTCATGGCTGGTGCTCAGAACTCCCAGCTCTGTACACAGGGATAAATCCTGGAAGTGTTTAAGGGACCCTATGTGGTGCCAGAGATTGAACTGGTATCAGCCATGTTCCAGACAAGTGCCTTAATCCCTGTACTATCTCCCTAGCCCAGGCTACCTCCTTTTCCACTGTTTTGGTGGGTCTTAGGGAAACCTTTCACTATCTTTCTCTTTCTTTCTTTCTTTCTTTCTTTCTTTCTTTCTTTCTCTCTCTCTCTTTTTGGGTCACACCCAGCAACGCTCAGGGGTTACTCCTGGCTCTGCACTCAGGAATTACTCCTGGCGGTGCTTGGGGGACCATATGGGATGCTGGGAATCAAACCCGGGTCAGACGCGTGCAAGGCAAACGCCCTACCCGATGTGCTATTGCTCCAGCCCCTCACTATCTTCTTTAAAGGAAAGTGGCCACTTTATTCAAGTCAGGTGTGTTCTGGTTGAGTCTTCACTCAGAACACAGGGTCTTCAAAGAACAAAGGTTCAGTAACTGGGAAATAAGCTGGTGAGCTTGGAGTTAATTCACTGAGATCAAATTCCTCTTTCTTATGCAAAAAAACCATTTATTTTTTTCTAATTACAGACAAGTGATGGGAAACCAAGAATAAACTCTTACATTTGATTCTCTATTTCTCACTCCATCCTTTTGACTACAAATTTGCTTCCCATTTCCAAGAAGAGCCCCATTCCAAAGCTCCGTTATGGAATTCTGGGTTACAAAACAACAGATGGCATCATAACCATTTTTAAAAAGAAGATAGCAAAACTCTTACTCTTGACTATTTGAAATGAAGTTTGATCACTGGCACTCACAAACATCAAAGGTGATGCTAATTAAACCTTCTAAAAAGAACACTGGGAAAATTCTTAAAGGTAATAATAAATCAACATAAAAGTTATCAGAGAATAGAAACCGAATGATTCTCCACGTCTCTAACTTAATCCATGACTGCTCTCTGCAGCTCTCTTGAGCCCTGAGGGGTCAGGCTGCCTCCTCAGGCTGCTCCTAAGACAAGGCCTGGGATCTCTCTTACTCACCCCGAGCACCCTCCTCCCCATCACTCTCAGACTCATCAGAAGAGGAGTCCTCAGACTCACTCTTAGTCACCTTGAGTAAAAACTTCAGGACCTCCCACCTGCTCGTTTCAGCATAGGCCCTGGGGCCCCAGAGGAACTGATGGCGGCCAGGATTTCCCGGAGTGTGCCGGTAATCCAGATACTGCTCCCGCACCAACACATTGGTGAGGAGCTCCCGGGGATGCCCAAAAATATAATGCTCTGTGTCAGGATACACTCCCATCAAAACCAGCACATTCCAGAGATCCTCCTCCATGATACGATCGCCTGCCAGGAAGATGATCCCCAAGACCATCACTAGAAGGCCCGTCTTGGGCATGATCTGCTCAGGATTCTCCAAGCCATCATAAGTGAGACCCAGGCAGGGAACCATCATAAAGCTCCTACTGGCCACCACATCCTGCACTTCAATGCCAAAGACCAACTGCAGGTATTCACGGGAGTTGGTGAAGATGATAGGGAAGAGTGCAGGGTAATGACGGAGGAAATTGCGTACTATCTCCTTCTTGCTTACTACCTCCTTTGAGCGGTACTTGAGGAGGAGAAACTTCACCACATCGAGCATCTTCTCTTGGAGTGCCTCCTGGAGGAGTGAGGGCCCAGAGTCACCCGAGTCCTCACTCTCTGACCCTTCTCCGTCTCCTTGCCCTTCCTCCTCCGTGTCTTCTTCCTCCTCCTCTACAATTTCTCCTTCCTCCTCCTCTGTGTCTTCTTCCTCCTCGCCTGCCATTTCTCCTTCCTCCTCCTCTGACATTTCTCCATCCTCCTCATCTGCCATTTCCCATTTCTCCTCCTCTGTCTCTTCTTCCTCCTCCTCTGACATGTCTCCTTCCTCCGCCTCTGCCTCTTCTCCTTCCTCAAACTCTTCCCCCTCCTCTCTCTGGTTGCTGGAGCACTCCCCCAGCTCCAGCCAGGTGCCTGCTTCCTCCTGGCCATAGCTCTCCTCCTCTGCCATCCACTTTCCCTCCTGGATGCTGGTGCTATCTCCCTGCATCTGCCAGAGGGCCATCCACTCGTGTTCTGAGCTACTGGAGCTCTCATCATTGTGCATCTGCCAGGAGACCTGCCACTCATCCTCTGGGCTCTCCATCAGCTCCTCCCCGTCTTGGCCATCATCCCCTTGGCTGCTGGCACTATCTTCCTTTGACAGCTGTTGCCACATAGGGTCAGGCATCAGGGGAGAACTCGGGAGATCAAAAGGTGCCAAGTCAGTGGCTCCCTCTTCCTCGAAGCTCTCTAACTCGGTAGAGACAGAGGAGAAAGAAAAGTAGGTTCCACAGGGGAAAAAGCAGAATGAACAGCAAGAGTTGGTGTCCTCCTCTTCCATTGCTTCGGAATGCTGCCCACACCTCGGACCCTGGTCCTGCTCAGGTTCCTGCGAGTCTTCCTCCAGCTTGCAGGCTAAATTCTCTTTATGGGAAGACATGACGACACGGGTCACTCAGGCAGGCGTGTGCTCGGGAGTTGGCTGATGAGACCCACAGACCTGGGGAGAGAGGGGGTGTGAGTGGCCTCAGTCCAGAGCAGAACCCTTGGTGGTTCTGAACAGGGAAACTTACTGGGCTTCTCTAATGGGGTGCTTCCAGCTCCACAGGATCTGTCCCTCTGGGGAGATGTCTCTCAGAACCTGAAAAGGAAGGAAGATAGCTCCTCAGGAAACAGTTGCCTCAGCCTGGGGTTCTGGTTCTGAAAGGGCTGTGGGGTGGAGTGAGTATGTGTTGTCCCTTCTGTTCTTTGGTGGGTGGTCTCTTATGTCTTCAGTCAGAGTGCATACCTGTCCACTGTAGCCCTCATGATGGTCTAAGGTAAAATTCTAAGAACAAGACTCCCCAGACCACCTGGAAGGAAGTCAGGACATATACGTGATCTCAAGTGCCTAGAGCCCTCCAGGATCCAGGACAGGGCAATGGCTGGCTCCTCCCTGGCCCCGTACAGATCTTGGGGGCCCCTCGGACCAAGTCCCTCCCCCAGTAGCACCATTTGGATGTCAGCAGGTGGCCCAGGCTGGTGGCCTGCTTGTGGCTCCCGGGCGGAGAGCAGGAGCGGACCAGATTAAGGTGAGGTCTGTCCTTATTCTGGGGCTTGAGGTACAGTCTCCTCCCTCGGGGTGCTTACCTGCACTCCTGACAGGATCTGAGACGGAGCAGATGAAGCTTCCTTGATGTCTGATGTCCTCTCAGAAGCAGGAGTTTCTTTCCCTGAGACCATGAGAGACACATGAGAAGGGTCCACACAGTTCAGCCACGCCTGTGATCAGAGAAGTCTGGGGGGGGCACATCTTCTCCTGTCAGGCTTGCCCCTTCTCTGCCCACGGTGAGTGAGCTGCCCTCTCCTTGTAGAGCCACTCTGAGGCTCCCTACATTCCCATCCTGGGTAGATGTGAGTGTGCTGGTAGGGTTTGGGATGCCTGGATCCTGACAGGACTGAGAATGGGGAGAGAATTGGACCCATGGGCTTCTCCTTCTTGGGTATGAGGTGCTTTCATATGAGTCCTTACCTTGACTCCCAACAGGAGGGGAGTATGTACCCACAAAGCCCCTTGCTTATCCCCCCATTCCTCTGGACACTCTCAAGGCAATGCCTGGGTTCTCTGTCATGTTCCCTACTGTCATGTTCTGGGGTCTTCACTTTAATTCCAGATAAAGTTGGGCCCTTGTGCTACCAATCAAAATCTGTCCTGCCACACCAAGACCTTTGCCAATCTAGGATCCCCCTAACCTCTCCTGCCAGAATTGAGGGACTTCGCATCTGCCCTGTAATTCCGGGTCCCTGGGTTCTCTATAGGTACCAGGAGGAATTGCACTGAATTCTGTGCAACTCCTCTGTCCTCCCTCAGGGTGACATGTTTGTTTTGGGGCCACACCACACACTTCTCAGAGGTCACTCCTGGAGGGGACCTGGGGATCATACAGGGTGCCCCAGATTGGGCACCTGTGTTGGCCATGTGCAAGGCAAGAGCCCTGCCCACCTGCCGTACTATCAATCTAGTTCCTTAAGGTACTCATTTCGACTCCATGGGCTCTCCCAGGACCCTAGCAGAAGCAACCCATCATGCTAAGACCTCAGCTGACCTCAAACCCCACACAACCCCACTCCCTAACCCTTATTAGAAGGGAATTCATACCCATTCTGCACTTTTGGCATTCCTTGTCCTGACCAGAGATATGGTGAAGGATGGAAATAGGTTTTAAGCCATGCTGCCATACCAAAACCTTTGCCAATCTCAGAAATCTGATAACCCCTCTCCATGCCAAAAATTAGAAGACTGCGTATCTGCTCTGTATTTCTGGGACCCCTTAGGTCCTGCCCAGGGATATAAGGAGGAACAGAGATTTGTCCTAAGCCTCCTCGACAAATAATTCCCCACCCTATGCAAGGGGCAACACAGCCCCTCGCTGCACGTCCAGGTCCCCCAGGTCTCCCCAGGGATGTGAGGGGGGGACAGAGACTGGTTCCAAGGGTTCTGCCGCACTATACACTTCACCAATTTCAACCCCCCAACCCCACTTAAGGGAAATACACATCCACTATGTACTTCTGGGTCTCCCAGGTCTGGTCCAGGGATATGAGGGAAGGTCAGAGGTATTAAGCCAGCTCACCACTCAAAGACCATCCCCAACCCTCAGCACCCCGCAATCCTTCCTGCAGGAAGTGAGCAAAAGTTATATCCCGTATGCACTTCTGGGGTCTCCCAGATCCTACCCCTGGGATATAAAGGATAGGGACTTGATCCAAGCAATCCCGCTAAGCCAAACACTTCACCAATCTCGATCCCCAGTCCCACCTGAAGGATCAATACATCTGCTCTGCACTTCCAAGCTCAAGTCCCATCTAGGGATATACGGGGAGATCAGAGCTTCCAAGCTGCCCCGAATACCAAACCTTCCCTTTCCAAGTTCTCATCCCTCTCCACCCCACAACCCACCCCCCACTCCCCGCAATGCCCCATACCCCTCAGCCTCGTGAAAGAAAATCACATCCTCTCTGCACTGGTGGAGTCCCCTATTTTGCCCATGGAAAGCTGGGGTTGTAAATATGTTATAAACTGCCCCACCATGCCAAGACTGTTGCCATTGAAGAACCCCCCCAAATGCAGCCCCGCTGAAGTGAGGGCAACTTACATGAGCTATGCACTTCTGGGATATCTTATGTTCTGGCAGGGGATATAAAGAGGGATAAGAAAGATAGGTTCTAAGCCTACACAGTACAACAAAGGTTTCTCCAATCTCAGAACCCACACCCGCACCAGGCTTGAGGGGACTTCACATCAGCTCTGCACTTCTGGGGTCTCCCGGTCACAATAGGGATATGAGAGAGGGGGACAGGTTCTGTATGCTGACTTCAGCTTGTGTCAGACAGGGTCCACTGTAAGCACCAGAGTCTGCGTCCCTCAGATATAAGCAAACTCCTCACCCTAAAGTGTTGAGGGAGGACAGACTCCACTTATAGTACCCTCGACGTTTCCTCTGAATTCTTCTCAAAGCAGTGCAGGGGCCTTAGGCTCCCCTTTCACCAGATTTATGACCCTCAACTTTACTCCTGGAGGAGCTCCGCCCACTCTGGACCAACAGGAAGCCTTCTTGCTACGCTAAGACCGTGGCCAATGTCAGAATGCCAAAAGCCACTTCAGCCAGAATTGAGGGGATTGTCTCCTCCTCACTACTTTTGATCTACCTTGGTTCCACCAGGGATATGAGTGAAGAAAAGTGACAAGTTACAGGTTTCCCGCTAAATCAGACCTTAGCCTATCTCTGAGCAAGAACCCCCTTTAGCCACAAGAAGGGATTGTCTCCTGTTAGCTGTGATTCTGGGATTCTTTTGTCCCTCCTAGGGATATGAGTGGAGGAAGGTGAAAGATTTCAGGCTTCCAGTCACATCAAGACCTTAAACAATCTCTGAGTCCCAAATCCCCTTGAACCGGAAATGAGGGATTGTCCCCTCCAAACTACACTTCTGGCTTCTTTTGGTCCCCCTCAGGGATTATGGAACAGCAGTACAGGTGATGGAAAGAAATATGACGGTTAAGACTCTGCCCCACACATCCAGACATTCTCCAATCAAAACCGCCAGAATCCTGGCCTACCGCAATGGAAGTGCCGGGACAGATATCACATTTGCTCTACATTAGGAGTCCCCTCGATCACACCCAGGGATTTGTGGAGCAACAGATAGGCTCCAAATTGTCCTACCACTGCAAGACCTAAGCGTCTCTCAACCCTCCATTGAGTTAGTCAGGGCCCGCCCTCCCGCTCTGGTGTCTTCGCTCCTCAGATACAGTCTGACTTCTCGGGTTCTAAAATGGTGGGGGAGGGGAGCCCGCACTCACAGTACAGCTAAGACCACTCGGGACTCTCATCAAGGCAGGGCTCGGGGCTCGGGGTCTCCTGTTCTTTTTGGAGCCCTCACCTGACTCTTGGGGGAGTTCCACCCACTGAGGAATGACCAGAATCCCGGGCTGCATCAGAATGCCTCATCTGATTTCAGCCAGAAGTGAAAGGATGTGACTTCCATTCCGAACTTTTGGGGTCCTTGGTCCCGTCCAAGGATATGAGTGGAGGGATGTGATAGGGTACAGTCATCTTGAGAGATAAGAGACCTTACCCAATCTCCTATTGCCGGAAGTGAGGGATAGTCTCCTCCAAGATACACTTCTGGCGTCATTTGGTGCGCTCAGGGATTATGGGATGGGGGGGGGCGGAAAGAAAAGTGACGGTTAAGAAACTGCCCCACACATCCAAGGAACTCCAATCATAACCGCCAGAGTCCTGGCCTACCCCAATAGAAGTGCGGGGACAGATATCACATTTGGGAGTCCCCTCAATCACACCCAGGAATTTGTGAAGAAATAGATAGTCTTCAAATTGTCCTACCACCGCAAGTCCTAATCTTCCTTCTGACCTCCAGAGAGTTAGTCAGAGCCCACTCTCCCACTCCGGAGTCTTTGCTCCTCAGACACAGTTTGACTCCTCAGGTTCTAAAGCGGTGGGGGAAGGGGAGCCTACACTCACAGTACAGCTAAGACGACTCGGGACTCTCATCAAGGCAGGGCTGGGGTCTTGGGGTCTGCTCTGTTCTTTTTGGGGCTCTCACCTGACTCCTGAAGGAGCTCCACTCACTTGGGACCGACCAGAAGCGTTCGCAGACCCCGGGTTGCGTCAGAATGCCACAACCGACTTTAGCTGGAATAAAATGGCGCGACATCCGCTCCACACTCTGGGGTCTTTGGTCCCGCCCAGGGATATGAGTGGAGGAATATGATAGGTTACAGGCATCATGGGACATCGAGACCTTAGCCAATCTCTGATCCCTAAACCCCCTTAGTCGGAAGTGAGGGACTGTCTCCTCAGTGCCATGTCTCGTGGGTCTTTGGTCCCACCCAGGGATATGAGTGGAGGGATGTGATAGGTTACAGGCATCGCGCCACAT